CCCCACACACACACACCCTCCCCAGCTGGCCGGCCCCCACACCCCTCCCCAGCTGGCCGGCCCCCACGCCACCTCCACGAAGAGCTTGGTGCACTTGATGTCGATGATGAGGGGCACGGAGTAGTCGACGGCCAGGCGCCGGGTGCGGTAGCCCTTGGTGACAAAGGATGAGAGCCGGCGCCCCCCGGCGTTGCGCATGGAGAGGTTAATGACCAGCTCAAAGTGGTTCTCGGCCAAGTAGTCCATGATGCTGCGCTGCGTCTCCTTGGCCCCGGCCTCGCTGCCGTCCGCATCCTCGAAGTGCCAGTCCACAGCCGTCACCTGCCCGGCGGGAACCAGAGCCCCACTGCCGTGACTGGGCATGAACCGGGGCAGGGGCGGCCCTGCTCCCAGGCCAGGCACAGACTGGGGGCGGGGCGGGGGGTTCCTCGCTCCAGGGACCTGGGGATGGATGGTGGGGGAGAGGAGGGGTGGCCCTGCTCCTGGGGCCAGGCACAGACTGGGGCGCAGGGGGTTCCTCGCTCCAGGGACCTGGGGATGGATGGGGGAGGGGGGCAGAGGAGGAGTGGCCCTGCTCCCGGGGCCCGGCAGACTGGGGAGAGGAGAGGGGTTCCTCGCTCCAGAGACCTGGGGACAGACTGGGGGACAAGGGAATGGTGGCCCTGCTCCCAGGACCCAGCATGGAAGGGGTGCCACCCCATGCCAGTAACTTGGGCACTGGCCCCACGCCTCTGGTGCAGGTCCAGCAGCCTGGGACAGGCCTGGGAGCCTCACCCAAAGCTGCCCCCCGGCCGCGCCGCACCAGGAGAGGCGGCAGCCCGCCCCCGGCCAGTACCTGGATGCCGTGCTCGGTGTAGAAGTCGGCAGTGCCCAGGCTGGCATACAGGTTGTAGCCCAGGCTCTCCAGCGTGCGCACTGTGGGCAGCAGCTCACTCTTGTTCTGCAACAGCCACCGGAGGGGTCAGAGCAGGCCAGGCCTGGGCAGCCCAGCACCCCCCTGCCCCAGGGCCCCTCCACCCGCATGGCCCCGATGTACGGAGCTGGCACTAGGAGCGGGGATTCCTGGGCCTGCTCGCAGCCTAGAGGGCTGGGACACAATGGGAATTGTTAGTAATGCTTTTTTGAGTCCTGTGTGTGCCTCAGTTTCCCCCGTGTGCGGCACTGTTCCCCCACAGGTGGGAGCTCTGGGGCAGGCGAAGACACAGGTGTGGATGGTGCCTGGCGGCCTGGGCCCTTAGGGCCCATCTCCATGCAGCTCTTGAGAAAAGAAGAGCAGATCCAATGGCCGGGACGTGGACACCTGGCGACCAGCGACCCAGAGAGACGTGGTCGTCCCGCCTCTCCGCAGGGGGCTGAGCCGCATCCCCCAGCTGGGGAACAAAGGCCTGGGGGGGGGGGGGTTTAAGTGTGGTCTGTGGGGAGCAGTCGGGGGCACCCCGGGAGTCTGACAAAGGAGATCCGACAGATGGGGGGACAGAGCTTGAACCACAGGGGTCACTGCAGCTGGGCGCCGGCTGCCCAGAACGGACTCCGCTGGGACCTTCACTTCCCTGAGCTCCCCCAGGGCTGCCTGTGCCGTGTGCCAGGCCGGGGATACACCCTCCTGTCTGCCCGCGCTGGCTGGGTGTCCCCACAGACGCTGGGGGGGTGCTGCTCCCCCAGATTGTACACGTCTCCCCCAGGTCTGTCCCAGACTCGCTGCCCGGAGCTCCCGGGGGGGGGCAGGGGGGCTGCAGGCCCAGGGACCCAGTCTCAGGAGGCGGCGAGGTCATATGGCTCACCCTGGGGGAAGAGTGAGACCCTGGGGGGGTCAGGGTCATTGAAGGCCCCTCCCAGGGACTGTTCCCAGGCTGGGACGTAGCCCGGCCCTGGGGGTCGGTGACAGAGGTGCCTGCCTGTCACCAGTGTGACGAGGGACCTGGGCCAAGGCAGTTTGCGAGGAGCCAACCTAGAGCAAGGTGCAGCGTTGGGCCTCCCTCCCTCAGGAGCAGCCTGCTTCGTCTCCCGCTGCTTTTGGCTGCTGCATGTTAGCGTTCTGGATTCTACGCTGCGTTGCAGCCATCCAGCGCGAGGATTTAAACCTCGCATCCAGCGTCTCTGAGCACGTGCCGCGGCCCTGCCCCGCCCTCACCTTGTAGCTGCCGATGGTCAGCAGGATGTTCTTCTTGGGGATCTTGAACCCGGTGCTCAGCATGGCTTTCAGGTAGGCCTCACAGCGGTTCTCCCCAAAGCAGGCCACCTCACCTGTGCTGGTCATCTCCACGCCCAGCACCACGTCTGCCCCCGCCAGCCGCGAGAAGGAGAACTGGGGAACCTGAGGGTGCAGAGGGCAGGGGGGCTCAGCAAGCCAGACAGCCGTGGCCACCCCACCCACTGCTCCCCACTCGCTCACCTTGACACCGACGATCCCAGTGCCTGTCATCAGCCCCACCGACTCCACCTCCTCGCCCATGATCACCTGGGTGGCCAGGGCCACCATGTCCACCCCCAGCGTCTTGGAAACGAAGGGGAAGGAGCGGGAGACACGCACGTTGCACTCGATGACCTTCAGCTGGTCGTCCTGCAGACGGACGGGAGCGTGGGATGACCCATCCCAGCGCCTGGAGACCCAAACTCGCCCTGCCCAGCCTGGCTAAAGCCCGATGGACCTATCTTCCGCGGTCAGAACAGAACAGCCGCCTTAGGTCAGAGGAAAGGCCCCTCTAACCCGGTGTCCTGTCTTCCCACGGTGGCCAGTGCAGGTGTCCCGGAGGGAATAAGCCGAGGAGGGAATCAGCAAGTGAGATGTGTGGAGCACCAGCTCGCCCCGGCTTGCTTCCCCCTTCCGCAGGGCACTGAGCACCCAGAGAGGCAGGGCAGGGGCAGGGCCTAGGCCCCCCTCGGATCCCAGCATGCTGCTCCCGCCCTCCCGCCGCATCCAGGGGCCCAGTCCCAGGCAACTCTGGCCTGGATGTGACATGTGGCCGGCTGCAGGAGACGCTGCAGAGCCCAGAGCGGTCAGCGGGGAAGGGGTCCGCTGCCTCCCTCCCCCCCCCCCAACTGAGGGCATTGAGGCTGACTGCTCCCCGGGTCCCTGCTGCCCCATGGCGGTACCTTGGCGATGAGCTGCAGGTTGAAGGGCCCCGTGACCAACAGCTCCTGCCCGATGGCGTGCACAATGGCCTGGATCCGCTCCAAGGTCTTGGGCGTGATGTCCTGGGGCGGCGTCACCAGCGTGGCGTCCCCCGAGTGCACGCCCGCATTCTCCACATGCTCCGAGATGGCGATAGCCACCACTGCGCCGTCGCAGGCCACGGCGTCCACGTCGATCTCCTGTAGGGGGGTGGGAGGGTACGACCGGACCCCTGAGCATCCCCAGCCCCCACTGCACCAGAGAA